TATACCTTTAACACTTTGAAATTTAAACTCACCAATTCAAGTTACTATCCCAGACAAATGTGGTAAATCAATGTCAAATATCACGTCTTTGTTACTGAATTTCCAGATAACATTATACTGAATAGTTTGATGATCACGGACATTAAACGTACGTGGCTGCTTCTTATTTTCAGAACTGATGATGAAAACTGTGAATCAATGTACGTGTCACCACTCAATAGGTTCTTAACTGAATGTTCCAGTCTTGATCTTATGTATCATTTATATTGATGTTTTATTATTGTTTGCTCTCGCTTGACATATAGACGGCTTTTGAATATGAACCATGGTGAAACAGCACTTTATACTTTTAAACATTAATCAAATTGGTTTTAATTTTGATACATGAATATGAATATAGGTTTGCTGGATGAATTGAAAAAAATTATTGAAAAATGAATAAACGAAAAATAAATTGAAACATTGCAATTCATTCATTAAAATAAGATGAAGTCGATAGCCTTTTTACCAGGCTTTTGCTTCAAATAAGGCGAAACTTTAGTTTAATAGTTTTTGATAAATTTCTATCAATATATTTCATCGTAAATTCAACCACATAACCTTTAAAAAAGAATTCTTCCAAGGTAGAGATATATTCAACCTTTGCATCAATCTAAACAAAATTAAAATCAATTATCTTGTTAGGCGGATGGCAAACAATCATATAAGGGGAGGTTTTTAAAATATTATAACTGCCATAGATAGAAGTGTTCAAAAGATATTTATTTGTGTGACAATAATCCATTTGAATATCGGATAATGAGATACCGCCATCTTGTCACCATCAATACCCCTCTTTACAGATACGGATAGTAGTATATATTCATAGTTGATATTTATGACCTGTAAGCATATTTCCTTGTACTTACATGTATAACCCTAATACTAATGGGCTATCAACAAAATGCCAAATCAAACTCTAATATAGTTCTGAAAGAAAACGGTGAAATGTGCCATGATAATAATCAAACAGCAAATCATTTTAATCAGAGTCTTGTATCATAGGTTGCGGTGTACCCCAAGGCAGTTTGCTAGGGCTTTTACTATTTCTGATATATGTAAATGACATGCAAGTGTGTATTAATCCAAGCTGCAAGATAATATTGTACGCTGACGACTCTGCAATATTATTGTCCCACAGAGATCCAGCAGTCATTTCGCAAGCTTTGTCTTTGATGTTGAAGTCCTGTCAAGATTGGTTAGTAGATAACAAACTTTCATTGCATTTAGGTAAAACAGAAAGCATTCTATTTGGTCCAGAAAGGAAATTAGATCCAATGGCAAAAAAATCGGATTATAAAATTGTGTGTTATAATCATGCAATTGAAGTCAAAAGATGTGTGAAATATCTTGGCATAGACATCAACGATTCATTATCGGGTGAAGAAATTGTAGATTCAATTGTCAAAAAGGTCAACCAACGTCTCAAATGTCTGTATAGAAATGAACAGTGTTTATCTTTTAGGTCAAGAAAAACTCTATGTTCTTCTTTGATTTTATGTCACTTTGACTACGCATATACTAGTTGATACGAAGGTTTATCGAAAAAGCTTAAAAAGAATTTACAAGTAGCACAAAACAAAGTAATTCGATTTATTTTGAATGTTCACAATAGGTACAGTCTGACACATAATGATTTTCTTCGGGTAAACATGCTTGATGCTGTTTCAAGAGTAAGGCAGCTCAGAATGAATCATTTGTTTAATATTTTCCATGAAAAAGCTCCGAATTAGATGTATGCATCTTTTGAAAAAAAAATCCATGTCTGCAAAATACTCGTTCATCAACATATAATTTTACTCTGCCAATGATTCATAGAGCTGAATATACATCATTTTGTTTTGTCGGAGCTAAAAAATGGAATCTAGTTCCAGAAAATACAAAAACAATACCCCAAAAAGTTATATTCAAATCTCAATTAAAACGTCACTTTCAAGACAAAATGAAAGAGAAACATAACAGTGATTATGTTTACTATTGGGACAGATAATGTTTTTTTTATCTACATTTTGGATGACCCCAACGGAAATAAGCGTATATTGTTACGCTTTTTGGGCTATTCTTAGATAGATTTGCTTAACATATATATCAGTTGTCTTTATTGTGATTTTATGTTCCGGTGTTGCATGTTTTATTTATGTCAATTTTTTACCTTATGTACTATGTAACATGTATATTATTTATCATGCTTTGTATACATTTGTGCAAATCATTCCTGAATCAATTTATTATTATTATTATTATTATTATAACCCCAACCCCAACGTTGAAATATGATTATATAAACTTAAACATAATAAGGACTTATCTTAATTTTAAAATGTAAAATTGAAAATTTCCATCCCGAATCGCATGGGAAGTTATGCTAATGCACTACTGATAAATCTTATCAGCTGAATGGGTGTGATCTTGCAACCTATACTTTAGATAAATTCTGAAACTGATAACCACTAGGTCATGACCCCTTTGCTGTGTTATCAGCTTTCTCAGTGCAAGTCTGTACCCTCCCAAACTTTTTTTAGAAATCGCTAACAGTGATGTCTTGACGCAGTAGGAGATAAGTTGCTAGTCCAGCATAAAATCGACCACAGTCCACTCAAAAAATTAACAGCCAATCCTTAGGTTTAAATGAAATAATGTTGTAAACATCACAAAACTATATTTTATTTATGATAATTTCTTTATTTTCAAATGTTGCGTTCAATAAGATAAAAAAATCTAATAACATTTATTACGTTATATTTACAATGTCTTCAAAATGTAATGAATGATGCTTTTTATTTTTAACATGTTCTACGATTTTTTCTCAATTATCTTAAAATAGAAAATAAAAGAAACATTACATATCAGCAACTATTCTTTACCATCTCTGTCTGCTTGAATATTTATTGATGTACTGTTACGAATCATGTCACAGAAGAAGAAAAAGATGTAAATTATTATCGATTTATCAGATTAAAATTGTTCTACATTGGCAAGTTGTAATTTTTAATGCATATTATTTCGCTGTTTGTTGAATTTAATTATCATTATCTCGTAATCGGAAGGAACATATGTGATATTACTGTAAGCAAACAGTTAGAACATTTAATTATACTTATGCTGTACTTTTTTTGATCGCTTATAGGTCTCTGACATTTGTCAATAAATATTTTCCTGATTGATATATTTCCAGGTCAGTCTTCATTTTCTTGATTGATATATTTCCAGGTCAGTCAAACTATATCTAATTGATACATTTTTTATCATTAAATATTTGCGTGATTTATGTTTTTCCTTGTCAGCAAATATTTGGCATAGGAAGTTGTATATTAGTTTTTATTCGATATAAATAAATCAATCAAGTTTCCGAAACCAGAGATTTGTTGATTTATAACACTCTCTAATATTACAAGAATACAAAAATGGCATTTGAATACTCTCATGTAATGAGGTGAAAACTTTACTAAACATACATGGTTAAATGATCAGAATTACATTGAACAACTTTATTTAATTGTATGATTGAATCTAATTAGCCATTATACTGTGCATAAATTATCAATGTCTTTTCTGGAAACATTTTATCCTCAATTTCAATGTATACTAACTTACCTTTAGTATATATAATAATTACATAAAATAAAATCTTGAAAACTTTTTTTCATTTCCGTTATTTCTTTGATTATATCAAGCAATAAAAGATAAATCAATCTCAAAAAAGTTACTATAATGGTATTTGTTGTCACTCACAAACGAATAATAATAATAGAAATAATAACACTAAAGAAAATAACTATGCGACTGTACGGTACACATGTAGATGTGATAGATATAGTATGTAAAAGAGAATGTATTGACACTTGAAAAGCACAATAAATCGTACACTTACAATAAATTAGGAAATTGAAATGAAATGCTATCCAAAACTATTTTGATAATGTAAATACTTAATTATTAAATTGAGATTGTACAAACGACACACACAAGTGAATAACATCTTTTAATAATTTAGAGTGAGATGCAGTAGAGCCAAACAATGAATTTAACTGCATCATACAGCGGTTTCGTCCTTCTAGGACTCGTCAATGATGCTAAGAGCCTAAATTTTGAAGCCTAGGAAGCGACTAAGGAAACTCCACAGTTTAAAATGTTGAAATAGTTGAAAATGAAGTTGAAAAATAGGTTGAACAATTTTTTGTCCAAGATACTTAATATCTTGATAAATATGTCTTGATCAATGTCTTTCATTGGTGGCAGAGAAATTGGGCTACTTTGACATAGCAGCAACACTGAACCTAAACACAGACCTTTTAAGTAACTATAGTCAAAATCTACTTCAACATCATTAGATATAAGACATGATTTTAAAAAAAATGTCTGTATGAAACACAGTCTAGATAATCTGCATTTATGCGAGTTAACGTTGAACATTAAAAAAAAAACTCAAAGCATCTAAACGGACAAAACTTCGATCACTATACATTAATAGCTATTTGATATATATATGTATGAATGGTTAAAAACATTCACACGCGTTTCTGTCTTACCCCCCAAACATAATCAACTGTACACAGGAATTTGATAGTGTACCTCTTGTAAAATTGGATGTCAGGGTTATGATAATAATTATACGGTAAAGATTTCAGATCGCCATATCTGCCCCCACACCCGAGCTTTTTGACATGAACTCTTTCTGCTTAGGAATATTATTGTGTTTTCAGTTTGACTTTTATCTACATGGCATCTACGCACGTACGTTGCACCGATAGGCAAGACTAATAGATATAGTATCACTAAGAAATATATATATATTATAATTGGCAATAACTTTCAATTTTTCTATCTTATACCCAATTGTTATCAATTGAAATATTAATAAATAAGAATAAACTGCTCTTAAGATTAATTCTATTTATAAAAAAAATTGTGCTTTATGTTTTTTGTTTGTTTGTTTTTTTTTTAAATTTATTTTTCAATACTCAAACGTGCAAAGAAATTTCTTTTGAGGATTCACTTTCTCTGTCCCTGTTGAAGCTTTTATCGCGTTGCCTTGTGCTAGTCGTCATGTCTGTACTATTAGACACAGAATTCGCATCACCTTCTTTTTTTTCCATTGGTCCAATCAGAGAGAGTAACACAGGGAGAAAAAGTAGCGCATGACCAACTCCAAACAATATCACAAGCAACATGACTTTGAAAAACGACCTAAATATATATGATTTGGAAAAGACCAACATTATGATTCCTAAAATTGAAGAAACCGCCCCATTCCATATAGGACCCCCAGAACGTAAAATAGCATTTTTAACTTTCTCGTCACGTGAATTGCCTTCAACTGTCATAAATGCGTGACAGATGTGTGCGCTGAAATCTACAGAAAATCCGACACTCATAATGACATGTATCATTGTGATAGAGCTGAGAGTTAGATCCCAAAAATACATGAAACCAAAAATTCCAGTCATTATCATAACCATGGAAACGGTGACATATAGGATTAAAAGGGGACTCGGCATGAACAACGCGGTAATAACAAATATCACCGCAACTGCTATTCCGACAGTTTGAAGGGTTGACGGAAGAATTGCAACATACTGTTCATAGAATATAAAGCTTGGAGAATATACAATAACATTCAAAGAAGAGTCCTCTGTTAGACTTCTCATTCGTTTCATGAAATCCCCCTGTTGATTGGAATCAACCAAATTGTTAGTGAATATGTATACTCGAGATGCGCGTATTTTTTGCCCAGTACTGTCAAATATGATATCATTTTTAAATTCTTTAGTTAAATTCAGGAATAGTTTTAAATTGCTAACGAATTGAGACTCAGATACATTATTGTAGTTTGGCGAAGACTTAAAACTGTTTAACCAGCTGATAAACAGCTTATTATTACCGACCACTTTGTCTTCCTGTACAGACGCCATTAAACCGTCAATAGCATTAATCGTTGACAATTGCGTGTAATCTAAAGTTTTGTCAAAAACAAACGAAACCGGTACACGCTGTAAAAAGTGTTGTTGGTTTTGTGTGTTATATGTGAAATAATATGAGTCATCAGAAACAAGGTTTGTTGTATCAAGGCCTTGTTGGAAGTTCGTTGACCCCCAAATTGCAATACCGAGGTAAATCACAAAACAAGCAAGGGTCACAATCTTTACAGGTACCAGAGTTATAAACTTTGTGATGGTTAACCCAGGAAGGCGTTCCATTAAACTCTGCAGGTCTGAGATAGATTTAGGGGCAGTCCCTCCACAGCAAAATCGATTTAGTCTGGAAGCAGTCGTCATTTGATTCTTCATTTCGATGGTGCGGCAGCATAAACAACAATGTCTGTTCTTTGATATCCTGTTCTCGTTGATAGCGATACAGGCGATGAAGAATGTGACGAAATTGATATAGCAGAAAAGAACTGCAATTCCTGAAACAGAATCAATATGTATGTAAATGTATGTTTAGACTGTATGTTCCATAGTCATGGCGTATGAGAAACATGAGGTACAAAGAACAGATAATTCACACAAGGAAATCCGTAAAAGGTCATTAAAAAAGAAAAGAAAGCTTTATCTTTGTTAATTTTCAGAGGTGTTTGAAGAGAAGTTGTTTCCATCTTTACGAAGGTGTCTGTGATTAAAAAAGAGGAGCATATATGAAGTTTAGGAAATATGGAATGAATTTTGGCAGTTTTCTATTTTTTCCCCTCTATCTCTTACATTCCCTTAAAAGTTAAAACATTTCCTGAGACGTTAATAGAAATTTGATTTTTACTCTAATGAAGTATTTATAAGAAACTACAAATATAATCGTCAGATATGATTCTCTGCTTGTCAGGAGAAAATATATTCACTGTTTAAGAGGATCAGTTTTAATTTTAGAACATGTTTACCTGTGTATATACAAAAGTTCCGTACACCTGGAAAGACAGACGATGCTCCCACAGCAAAAGCTATGATATCAGTCAGAGATGTGATAGTGATTGCCACTCCACTGGTTCGCATGGTCTCTGCGACACGCTTTGGAGGTGTTTCGTATAACGGAGCTTCTGCGAGACCGGCCAATAATATAAACATATCATCAATACCAATCCCTACCAAAAAAAGATAAAATAAAACTGTAGTAATTACTAACGAAATATTTATCATTGTTATCACATGACATGATGGTAAAATTTAAGCTTGAACAAATGTTTTCGTCACTTGTCTTTCGACATAAGAAAAATGCTCAGCTTTTTAAATACCGATGTTATTTTTCCCCGATAGAACATTCTAAACAAATTTGGTCGAATACTTAAGTTTGTATTAAACCAGATCAATTATTTCTTTTATTAAAGTCTATTTTTATTCATATTCAAAATGATATAAGAATTAGGAACAGTATTATATTAAAATGGTCACTGACATACTCTAATCTTACATTCAAAAAATTATATCCCTTATACTTCACCAAAGTCGTCAAAATGAAATAGGAATCGTAATGGCATATAGTCATATTTTGACTTAACCACCTTTTTTGTTTGAAACATATTTTAATAATAAAAACAACAGAAACATTAATGTGAGTTTAATGGAAACCGTGATTACTTTTGTTGTTTTGATTATTTAACCATCGCCTTTAATCACACCTGATGTTCGATATACCAACTATATGGACACTTTAATCGCATCTCGTGAACATGCCAGATTGCAATAAAAAATTGAAATCAGATCAAATAGAAAATAAGGAAATATCATCATGACTTAAATTTAACAAAATTAGAGAAAATTACGAACAAAGCAAAGAGTTATACAGAGACTCCTGAAAAAGCACAAGAAGAATAAGACATTGGATTTTCCTATGTCACCTAATAGGTTTAACACTTCAATGAAGTAGGAAACAGCTGCATGACACATTTAGGTTATTTATTTTTTGAAGGATTTATTTACTTGTGTGTCCTTTCCACATTGCCCTCATAGCGTCATAAAGTACTATTTTAGTTTTAAAAAAGCAACATAGTAATAAGAAATAAATTTGTCGGTGACAATTAACTATAGATATAAGGGTCAGATTTACGGTACTTACCTAATATCAGAAAAGGCATCACTCCTACAATATCGACGAACTCCACGCCACAGGCACTGACCAGTCCAAATGATGCTAATATTCCAAGTCCAGTGGCTATGACGCCAGCCCGTCCGAGATTTTGTCTGTCGAGTAAACAATCACAGGTCATCGTGACCAATGTCGCGTAAACTATCATTAAGGTGAAGGTCAGTGACACAAACAGTATATCGCCACTGATGTTTGATGTGAGTTCCTCGTCAAGTGATGTCGAGTGGGCATACGAGATATCCAGTAACGACGATTGGAGGTTTTCCATATAAGAAATAAAACTTTTCTCCCATGATTTAGAATTATCCGTGTTTTCTTTGGTGTCTTGTCGTAAGTTAAAAACAAGTTTGATAAACTTAGCAGATCTGAGCACCCTTCCCTGAACAACGGTATCGCCAAACACGGATTCCATGGAAACACTCCCAAGTACGGGATATGTTATGTTGTTATTCTGAAGTGAATTGTCAAAGTTGCCTGAGAAAATGATGTTACCGTCCACGACACATTTAGAATCCCGAACAGCACATAGCCGTGAATAGTTCATTCCATTTCCTAATACTTTGGCTCTTATTTCATCGTAAACAGTTTTGATTTCGTTTATGTAAAGACGCGTGAGGAGGTTTGACGCATTTTTGCTTTTAAAAATGACACTGCCATACAAATTTGCCTCGGCAAGATTTTGTTGGTAAAAATTTGTCCCAGAATGATCACCAAACAGATTTTTTATCGTACCTCTATCTTTAGACGCTTGACTGTTCCTCGGCGTATATACCTTCTCCACGTCTGATTCGAACGTTAGATTGACGAGTCCTATTCCAAGTAAACCGGACACTAAGACAGAGAACATCAGAACAGCCCATGGATAGGTTCCAACCAGTTCTCCATATCTTGCAAATCCGTTTCCAATTGACTTTTCTACTTTGTTGTACAGTTTCCAACAAACCATTTTGCTCCAGAAAATAAAGAAAAAACTCTGATCTGAAAGACTTGATAGAAGTATATCTAATTATACAAAGACATCATTATTGATGTTTTTTCTGCAGTCTGATATCATGATATTCACTTGTATCACCATATACTTAACGGAACCTAAAAGGCGCTATTCATTTTTGTACAAGCATGAAGGAAGTGTATCTAACACTTAATTCATTGATCTGATTTTGATTTTGGAACACATTGTCCTTCCTTGAGCTCTCAACACTAATGAATAAAAGTTGTTATTTCATAGTTAGGTATAAAAAAGAAAAAAAAGTGTTAAGGACAAACAAAAGAAACTAAACTTAATCCCAGTTTATGGTAAATTAATTTGGACAGAAGGGATAATACCTACGCCCTACCCACAGTCACCTCTTAGGTTTGAAATTTAGTGCTAAGCATCACTGATGAGTCTTAGAAGGACGACAAAGCTGTATGATGCAGTTTGATTCTTTGTTTACCTCTACCGTATTAGATCTAGATTTTAAGTATAATGTGTTCTACACCATTGTGTCTTGAACAAGATGCCAATAATAGTGATATTAAGACAATGTGAACTTGGAATGGTAAGATTAACATCGTCTCTTTTAATGCAGATTGATGTTATAATGAAACATTAATATCGACAAAATATGAGATTAACAATTATTCAAATAAATTAGTATCAATTCAAAAGTGAAACTTATTTAACATGGAAATGGCATTATGAACAACCGAACATTCAAACATAGAAACAAAACAGTGTACAAACGATCTGTGATCATAAACTCAAAAATGGACATATACTCACATTTAAACAAACGCTTCATCTGTTCACTCCAAAATGCGTTTTATCTAACCCAGTCAAACCCAGTCTATATTTTGTAACCATGGGCAACGGAAACATGTTGATCAATAGACGCTTTATTTATGACTTTGCATTACATGCGCATAACAAACCAATCTGTTATCACAAGCTCACACATGTCAATCAATAATTGAATAACCAATGGAAAGGCGGGCTTCACAATCTATTTAAATGGGCTCCTTGTGTATACTCTGTACCATAAGCCTCATGAAGCCTTGATAACTACTAAGGTAAGCGAATGCACGTTACAAAGGATTTTGTACTATATGTACACCTGTATTTAATAAATAAGAATATATCTTATATAACTTACTAAAACTTGACATCATTATGTTATTTGTAATTTGAGTGTATAAAAATTGATGACAATGGAACCATGATTTTTTTTTTTTTTTTTTTTTTTTTCCATTTTATTTGTTTTATTATATACTTTTTTGTTTCTGTTTTTTGTTTTTGTTTCCTTTTTGTATTTGTTTCATGTTTACTGAATCTATGATAATATCGATTACGGGCCATCCTGCAATTATACAAAAACATTGCCGTAAGCGTTATATAATTGATATACGTTAGCAGAAAAACCATGAATTTACATATTTACATTGGACACGTTGTCAATGAAACAAAAGCGCGAAATAAATAGTGATTTTATCGAGTTCCAATTTACCGCAGAATCTAAACGTTACACTTTTATAACAATTTAATAAGTTGAATACTATAACTGAATATTGAATATCTCAAGCATACGGCATAGATAAGCAAGCTAAAGTCATATTAATGTTAATTCAATGATGATAATTAAAAAATATTGTATTTTTAGTTGATTAATTTGCGAAAATATGTCCTCTCACCTTTCGATGGGATGTACATGATGATTTCATACACATGTATATTGAGTTTTGTTTTTCCATGATATTGAAATAATTTTGGTGTATACTAGAGCAATTCATACAAGTTATAGATGGACATATGTGATAAACCGATTTATATATGTAACAGAGGTCATTATATATTTCAATGCCTCCACTAGGAATCGAAACCGGGACCCCAAGCTTACTAGTCTGACTCTCAATCCATCAAGCTAAAGAGAGGTTCTCTCTAGCCGATCGGTATGTTGCGGCTAGTATTTACCAGGGTTACATATATATAAGTACAACTACATTCTATATAAAAACTAACTTTTAGTAGACGACAGGAAATAGGTTTAGAATATTCCTGTACAATACCTGCAAAAATTAAAATGAAACTTACAGACAAAAAAAGTGAATAAAAAACTTGGGAAAAATAAAAAATGTAATTCCCCGATCACAAAAAAAAAAAGAAAAATCATCGGTGTGAAAACGTTTACTGTTGTTACGCAAGACATTATTCTTATCTGAAAAACAGTTAATTGAAAAGATGGAAGTCATTTCCTAATTCTAAAAACTATACCTGTTATTTCTTTCAAAAGATGATGTAAAAGGTTAAGACAGCGAAAATGTTTCTTAAATGGAGTTTTATTATGAATCCTTTCTAAACATGGTCATTATCACTTTCAGGCAATGACATGACGGAACAAAATGGACGATGACAACTCTATCGTCATTGTTGGAGTCGGATGTAAGTTTCCCGGAGCAGACAACTTAGATGAATTTTGGCGAGTATTGAGTGAGGGTGAGAATCACGTGATAGAAATACCACGTGATAGATGGAACAATGATGCCTTCTATCATGAAGATCCTAATGAACCTGGGAAAACATACGTCACCAGAGCTGGCTTCATCAAAAAGTAAGTCAACATTCCATTTTTTAAAACTAAGTAGTTAAAAAAAACAGTTTTTTCATCTACAAACACTGTAAGGCAACTGTAGTATTCTATCACAGCTAAAGGTGCTTTTCACCTGTGTATCATTTGCACAGTCTTACGATTCGCTGTAAACTGTATGCCGCGTTTTATTTATTCGAATATCGGGTCAGAATAAACTTTTGTATTTGACATTATAATGAAATTGTCAAATATGTGAAAACCAATCGATTAATTGAACTATTGAGCTAGTCCACCTACCAATCTAGATTTTGACATCACTTTCGATCAATAAAGGTTTTTCTCAAGCGCCTCCTAAACCTCAAAATTTAGTTCCTTAGCATCACTGACGAGTCGAAGGACGAAACAGCTGTATGAAGCTGCATAATTTATTATTTGGTAATACCGTATTAAATTACTTTATAAGACAAAGGGATATCACTGTAAATTTTGACAATCTTTCAATCCTGCCTAGATTGCTTAGATAGATATGTTGAAATATAGCCTTAATGGAACGTTAGTATTATAAACTCATCAATAACATAAATAGGAAATAATGGTCATCGTTCTCTTTAATTAACCCTATGTCCCCACTATTTCACTACAAAGTAAAGACTCCATTTCCTTATCACCTTCCAGTGTAAAAGTTACTACCTAGTGTGTTAATTGCGTGATCTTGGCTTCAGGTGCCAGATAGACATACTACTGATAAAATGCTTAGTTTCATCTCAAGCTTGATTTCTAACGAATGCCATTCACCACAATTAAATAAACTACATAAAATTATCTTCAAAATTCATCCAGACGTACAAAATATGTATTTTCGGATAAAACTTGATAGGATTTAGAGATGTCCAGCTAACGATAATTTCTGCTTAAGGAAACATCCTCTAAAATCCTCTGTGGTTATTGGTAATATATATATATAAATTAACATTTCCGACACGGCCCATTAAACGAGGTTACGAGGGAAAAGAACTCCAAGAAATCTATAAAAACCAAAATATTTACATTCCATTTGGTACATACACATGTTTCTGCGCATTACCCTGACACAATAAGGACCTCAGAAGTTCCGTCAGCGCTTCATAGTAATAAGTAGTGTTTTGCTTTCGTTTCTTGCAACATACAGTTCGTCTTTTTTTTTTTTTTTTTTTTTGTTACCTTAATAGCCGTGTGAAGGTTTGTCGATGTATAAATGTATAACCTGAGTGAAGATAGAAATGAATACAGCATTATAAGCTATGATTCAAAATCCAAAATGTTGAAAACCGCATCAAAATTGGCCGGCCGAGATATCGACGTGTAAAATTGATATAGTTTTGAGGAATCGTATATTTCTGACGTTAGATTATTTAGACGGTATCCAGTCATATGCAATTTGCCAGTCTGGATATTTTTCAAGCAATTTAAACATATTTATTTGTTAATTTTTAGAAATCATTCAATATTGAAAATTAAGCATATTATATTCTTAATGGTAGAAGGGGTTAGCACATCTCTATATCTGGCTTTTGATACTTCGACAAACTTTTCCTCATTCGCTTCCTGCTTTCCTACAACTTAATCATCTGGCATCACTGATGACTCCTAGTAAGACAAATCAGTTGAATGATACATTTTCAGTCATTGTTTGGCCATACTGTATTTATCCCTCTACATTGAAAAGGTGTCTTTCGTTGAGGTCCAATTGTGTCCAGGGGACTCAAAGATCATCATCTTTTTAAATGTTTTTAATTATTGGACAATCATTTGGAGGATAGAACTTTTATGAACGGTTTGTGAAAGGGTCGAAGGGTGTCAGGATATGTGCCTGTGTCTTTTTTAAAGAATATTAACTAATGGTTTTCATAATATGATATAATATAATACAATATGAAACAGATTATAACGCAATGAGCTATTGTTTTTTCCGGTTTGTGCATTTCCTCGATAGGTACATGTCAGTCAGTTACAATCAATAGATTGTCCCGTAAATAAAACGCATTTGTCATCAATACAATGCGATGTTGTTCTCAAGGTAAGGTAAGTCAAGTGCAGATACATTTGTATGTCTGGTATGAAATCGTGTATAATCGAATACATACATAGACACCATCTAAACAGACAAGAGATAAGAGAAATAGGGGCGTTCACAAAAGTGAAACATATATAACAGAGGTCATTATTTATTTCAATGCCTCCGCTAGGAATCGAGACGGGTTCCCTGGCTTACTAGTCTGACACTCAACCAATCAAGCTAAAGAGAAGTTCTCTCTAGCTCGACACGTTGAGCCTCAGACTAGATATTCAAAGTGTTTAGTAAACACAAAGCACAGGACTAATTATCTGGGTGTACCTTATCTTTTCATCTCTTAGTGAGGATAAATTGCCCTTGGGGCACTTAATATGTTATTATACACATGCAGATAATTTACAGGGAATACATATTATCTATAACATGTAATTTAAGAAACGGTAAATCTTTGAGCATATGTGGGCATCACTAGTTCTCCAAACACACGTGAGTGACTAATGTGAATCTATGTGGCTTCAGTAATTAATTTAACGATAGGTTATAAACAAACGGTTCAAATAACTGTCGACATCTTAAGGATGTACTTCTCTGAGAGGTAAATAAAACACATAATTCTGCACTAATTTTCCCAACACAGGCGTCAGAATATGTGTAACAGGAAATAATTCATTTTCACACGTCATCTTTCTTTTTTTCCTGAATAACAGACATCCCTGTTATTTTCGCGGCAACTTTTTCAGATATCTTTTGTCTCTCATTACAAGATAAAGATACTTGAATACTAAGAAAAAATAATGCTAAATATGATTTAATTTGCTTCAACGAACTTAATATGCATAGCAACCAAAACATGAAAATGTTCCAAAGTAACCTAAAACTTTACTGTTTTCTGTTATTAAACTTTTTTAAGACTTTATATTTAAATAGAGAAATTTTCTATGATACTTTTCATGATTGTCTTTATTTTTTTTTAATTTCTATTTTTTTTTTTTTTTTTTTGCAATTTTCAACAGATCAAGAGCCAAACTGAATTATTTGTTTTCGGGTCATAAACCTCCGTGAAAGTGATCCACCAAGTAAGAATTAACGAATTTGAAATTTGTGGTGATAACTCCCGTAAAACATTGAAATTGTTGGTACTATTACCCACGTCGTCAAAAAAATAGTCCACAAGTGACGTCTCTTCAAAACGTCATAAAATTGCCCTTGTAAGTTTACAAGTACAACTAAAGAAGAGTGTATAATAAAGTATAAGATATTATGTAGGAATTCATTTTATATTGAACTCTGTCTTACTTCCTTACTTTCTAACATGGTTCCATATTTAAGATATGATGAATGGGACAACAAGTTGTTTAACGTCAATGATATGGAGGCCGCGTGGGTGGACCCCCAGCAGCGCTATGTACTGGACTGTGTCCATATGGCAATGGAGGATGGAGGAATTACGAAGAAGAATCTGAATGGCTCCAACACAGGAGTGTATATAGGTAGGATATCAGGATATCCGATGCTCATGGATCATAGGCTTGCAATACTATAGCCAACAATAGTAAACAAGAAAACCTGCCATTCTGTGGACATTTAGTAAAAAACAGTTAAAATGTTCTGTAATGTCTCCATTTCTGTCGCTTATTGTATTGTGGGGTTTCCATTGTGTTTAGATTTGCATTAAAACCCTATTATTTTTTAATTCTGTATATTTCAACCACATTAGTCTGCAGCTTTGCCAAGGATTGGCATTCATTTCTCCAATTCAGAACGTTGATTTGACCCCAGGAGACATTGATGGGGGAAGGGGTTAGTGAATTTGCCTTAAATTATAATACGAAATAAAGTTTTTACAGTACAATTTTAACTGAATTTTCTTATATCACAACCGATTAGAAATTGCCTAGAGTTTAATAACCGGAACGTCATATCTATCAATATATCGTTTCAATATACATTACTAACGTTTCGATATGTTCATTAGATAGTCTTCTTGGTCAGAAATGCCGCTAATGAGTTTCAGTTCTTTTTGTCAATCTCAAAACCCTCAAATCGGAAACACGTGAAATTTAAATCTTGTAGCACAACTACTTTTTACTTTAAATGTTTGACGATGGACAATTTGGTATAGGTCAGTTTTGATCATGTGCATGATGGATGATCTTCATTGAACACTGTACATTATCTTTTCATGATAGGTGTAATGAACGATGATTACAAGGGCAGCTCTAACAATGACCTCAACGATATGACAAACTACAGTTTAACAGGAACCTCTCCCAGCATCATATCCGCCAGAGTGTCCTACACATATAACCTACTCGGCCCTTCCATGTCAATTGACACCGCCTGTTCCTCGGCTTTAGTAGCTATCCATATAGCATCACAAGCATTGAAATCTGGTAACTCTTCAAATTCCTGATAAAGTGCAATTCCTTTTCACTAATATTCAAAGTTCGTAGTTTAATTCATACTTAGTTTAGCTATATAAATCATACGATGGCAAGGGAAACAATGCCAAATGTAAATTTGTTTATACATACTTATATCAGTATCACAGAAATACGTTACATACGAAATGCGAATTTACACCTACCCTTTGTATCTTCTGTCGTTCCTAGGCGATTGTGAAGTTGCGATCTGTGGCGGTGTCAACAGTATCCTCTACCCTGATATATTTGTTCCGCTAAGCAAAGCACGGATGGTATCGCCTACAGGCCAGTGTCAGGCATTTTCTGATAAGGCTGATGGTTATGCCAGAGGAGAGGGGTGTGGAATTGTCATCTTAAAAACAAAAAGACAGGCACGTAAACTTTGAGCAGATGTTTTTGTATGAATAACATTTATGCACCATAATATGATTTACAGTTAATCCAATCAATTTTATCTCTCACATTAACTATTTGTAGGCATTGATTGATGGCAATAAAATTTGGGCAGCCATAGCAACTGGATGTAACCAAGATGGACGAACGACCACTCCGATCACTGCGCCATCAAGTATCCAGCAACGAAATCTTTTAATGAAAGTATATTCAGAAACTGGAGTTAACCCGAGGGACATTCAGTACATTGAAGCACACGGTACAATAGAAAACTTCTGATATTTGATTTTTACTACTATAAACTAGTTTACTGTTGACTTGACGCAACACTATTTCGTAACCAAGTCGATATCCAGATCTATGTCGATGACAAATAAGAATTATTTTTGTTTTGTTACATGAACATTTTTCTGATCGGATGCAAGCCAATCAAGAACAAAAGTTTATTTAAGTTATTAAAGTAAAAAGCATTTCTGGAAATCCTTGACTGAAGCTTTCAAAAAGCTATCGCCACGAAGTAGTCTTTTACAGTACAAAACAAAAGTTAAAAGCATCGATAATAAATTGGTTAACAGTGCTGCTGTCATTATTCCTAACTTTTTTCCCCTTTTAGGAACTGGGACTCCTGTTGGTGATCCAATTGAAACCAACACACTTGGTCAGTTTTTTGCTGAAAAGCTTTCAGAAGACGATGAAAACCTTAACAACGTTCTTCTTGGATCAGTTAAAACAAACATCGGTCATCTTGAGTCCGCAGCGGGAGCAGCTGGTTTGATAAAGGTTCTTTTGATGATGACTCATGGTAAGATTGTTCCATCTCTACTTTTTGAAAATCCCAATCCGAGAATCAATTTTGACAGATATCGCTTAGAGGTTGCAAGAACGGTATCCCCATGGCCTTGCTTTCATCAAGGAGGACGACTCTCATGCGTCAACTCTTTTGGATTTGGAGGGACAAACAGTCATGCCGTCATAAAGCAATACATTGACTTAAATGTAAAGAAAAAGAAAGAAAGTATTAAAGGGAAACATATAATAGCAGTTTCCGGTAGTGATCTGAAGTCTCTGGAAAGGAACCTAACACACTTGAAACAGAACATACACAAAGCGAAATACTGTATAGAAGATGTATCCTATACCTCAACATGTAGACGAGATCATTATTCATACCGCGTTGGTTTATATGTGGACACAAAAGAAGACGTTGTTAGGAAGTGCGACGAACACCTTCAACAACTTTCATCGCTGAAACCTACAGGCTTTTCAAGACCAAACGTCGTCTTTGTCTTTTGCGGAGTTGGCACGACATGGACGGGGATGTGTCAAGAAATGTTGAAGAAAGAAGAAATATTCAAAGAGGCAGTGAGCAATATAGACAGAATCCTTACACCTTTGACTGGATGGTCGATATTCCAGACACTCACCGATGGATTTGATGTCACGGATCCATTGAAAAGTCACCTGGCGATCTTTACCTGCCAAGTGGCTCTAACCAAACTTTGGAATCATTTTGGTATACAGCCAGATGTAATTGTTGGGCAGTCAGTTGGAGAGGTAGCGGCGGCATACGCAGCTGGGGTTTTGACACTAGAGAATGCGGTCAAGGTCATATACGAACGATCTGCTATTCTAGCCAATGCAACAGGAGGATCAATGTGTGTAGTCGGCAACTGCTTCTTATCAATCGTGGCCAACGCCTGCAAGAAATATCAGCAGAAGGTTTCCATTGCTGTCCATAGTAGCTCTAAGGCGTGCACACTGTCTGGAGACAGAGATGCGATTCAAGATGTCATACAAATTCTGGAAAAAACAAGTAAGGAAAAAATCTTCCTACGCCATCTCGATGTGAAATGTGCTTATCACAGTCACTACACCAAAGCTGCAAGTGAACAATTAGAGAATTCTCTTTTGGGACTAACGGGGTCAAAACCAATATGCACATTGATATCAACTGTGACAGGAAACAAAGCAAACCATGAGGACTTTGTATCACCGCAATATTGGGGAAAAAACGTCAGACAGCCGGTCTTATTTCATCATGCCATTACAAAGGCGCAGTCAGATAAAACTTTCAACATTTACCTTGAAATAGGACCGAAGCCTGTACTGCGATTTCACGTTGGTGATATAGTAGGGAACCAAAATGCAACAGCGTTGCCCTCTATTACAGAAAAGAAAGAGCGGGACATGCTGTATCTTTCTCTGATGGAACTCTACAAGCACGGCGTCGACCCTCACTGGCCTAATGTTGTTACCAATGGACACATGACTGACATTCCGAAATGTTTATTCAACCCAGTAAAGCTGTTCTTTGAATCAGACGTTACTACCTTGAAATACAGTGGGATTCAGTCTTCTCATTCAAACCATCTTTTCGTTGAGAGAGCAGGTGGAGATGGCAGACAATTCAAAATCAACATAACACCAACAACCACCTGGTTTCTCTACGAACATGTAGTTTCCGGCACAATCATGGTTCCTGGTGCGTTTTACATCGACATTGCTTTGGAAATTTTTAAGGAATGGAGCAAAAACAAAAGTCGTAAAAGATTGAGCATTGCAGCACAATTTTTACAGCCACTTCGCTTAAATAAAGGAGATGCGAGTAAAGCAGAAGCGTTTGTCGAACAGTTTGACGACGAATTGTCAATCAGCATACACAAAAATAAGGAAACGGTCGCAAAATGTCAAATAAAGCAGACCAAGGAAACTTCCTTCGAAAGTGTCGACTTAGACGCGATTCGCAGAAAATGTACAATCCGTCAGTCAGCCTCACAAACCTACCGGAATCTTAAAAGACTTGGATTTGCCTACGGCAACGATTTGAAAATTTTGGGGGATTGTATTAAATCTGAAAACGAATGTCTTGTTGATATAACACTATCGGATTCAATTTTCGAAGATATCGGTTCTACACAAATGCATCCGTCAGTGTTAGATGGCCTTCTGCAAACACCTGGTGTCCTTAACGTCAAAGTCAACTTTGGCACTACACTTCTTCCAGGTGGTATCGAAAGTATCGTGGTTCACCAACCCCCAGAAAGAAAAATGCTTGCTTTTGCCTCATTGGTGTCTCAGACGAAGGACAAGATAAGATACAATGCTTTACTTTTGACTGAAGATGGAAGGGTAATAGTAGAGGTGAGAAACTTTTTTATTCTTTGTATCGGGACCAACAACAAAGATGAACAGGACTGTATGTACCAAGTGCGATGGGAGGAAATAGAAAAGACGATTGAAAGGACAGATAAACAAAGCTCCTATGATGGTCGGCACAAGTCAATCGTAATCTCTGAGAACAAACAGGATGCGGAAATACTGGACTCTGACATCACAAATATCTCCACTGTTCATCTTTCAACACGAGACAGGGATTTTCAAAACATGCTCAAACGTCATGTAGAAAACACAGAACACACTTTTCAGTCAATTATAATATCTGTGAACAAAGACGAACGCGCCGACAAATTAACTGGAGAGGAGGTGATGAGAAGAGTAATTGAAAACGTTTCCGCATTACTGAACACATGTCAGCAGCTTGTAAAACTTCAACGAGATATACCTGTTGTGATTATAACTGAAAAAACACAGTCATTGAACAAATCTCACAGCTGCGTTGAAAATGTCATTGGGTCCGAACTGTGGGGAATGGCTCGGTCAATCGTTCGCGAATACCCTTTGCAGTTATATTTGATTGACAGACATGTATCATTACGTCAATGCTTATCTACCATTAAGGAACTACTAGTTCTCAGAGTTCCTCAACTTTTCTCTGAAGCAGAACTGTTGGTTACCAGAAATACGACAGTGTACTTGAATCGATTGGTAAGACTTCAAGAAGAGCCAAAGGAATACAAATGGATCGCTCGTACAGAAACTGACCAAGTTCATCTGAAATCTTACCATCCGTATGATGTAAAGAAGAAATTTTGTCTACTGCAGGATAAAGAATCAATTCAGAATGGAATATATATGAACGTCGAGACTGCTGTGTTGCACGAAAAGGAAATGTTTCCTCTAACTAAACAGTCTTTCGGGAATGACATTCCAGTTTGGGCAGACGGCAAGGAAGATGGGTTCGACATTATCACTTTGGAAGTCTCTGGTAAAGTAACTGTACATTCAAATGAAAAAACAAACGTTCTACCAAGACAGCTAGAAGGATCGTATGCAGCTTGCTCTCCTTTCACTTTACAAAGTGTAGTTCAAATACCGAAAGATTGCATGATGAGAATCGACGACCTATCTTGTTATCAGCCCGGACTTTTACGGATGTCCACCCTTTTGTGGCAGATCAAAAATCAAATCTATAAAGGCAAAGTATTTATTCTGACTGATGTCGATGACACTGCTGGTCAAATACTACGATTGATGTTTTCAAAACCGTTAGCGAGTCAGACCACCATTACAACTCTACAGAATCTACAGAAATCGGACTTTCATCAAGCATGTTATGACACTGTTGTAATTCTAACGACAGTAGATCACATAACACTTGAAAACCTACTGAGCAGAATCGACAGTGCTCAAACATTGATCTCTCTGGAAATGTTTGCGACTACAAGTACTTGGCACACTGTAAAAAGAATGCATGAATCTCTTGCGTTCAAAGTGTTCAAAACTGAAGACATATTGAAACGAAAAGATCTCTGTAAAACTATTCCTAATGTCGCACGATGGCTTAGGAAGACAATGCCCAAAATCAAAAATAGTACAAATGACGACACAGCCACAAACATTGTGCAGTTTGATTCAACAAAACAGCAAGAGATACGAATGAAAGTCAAGAAGAAACAACTGTTTCGAAGAAGCAGGTGCTACATCGTAGTAGGTGGATTGACAGGCCTAGGTTGGGAAATTGTCAAATATCTTGCAACGGTTGGAGCTGAAACCGTCATTACTCTTTCAAGATCCCGTCCGAATGCCAATCAAGTAAGAGATATATTAAAGTTAGAGAAAGCAACTTTAACAGTAGTCAAGGCAATGTCGGCAGACATTACAGATATAGAGTCCCTGAAAAAAGTTTTCAACAGAATCGATGGTGAATTTGGACGTCATACCGTGAAAGGGATATTTCATGGTGGAGCCGTTTTAGATGATGGCTTATTCACCAAGCAAACCGCTGCTAACTTTGTGAAGGTTTTGCTCCCAAAAGTACTCGGAAGCTGGAATCTCCACATACTTTCACAACGCTATGACCTTGACTTTTTCGTTCTTCACTCTTCAGTGACATCCATCTTTGGAAATACAGGTCAAAGCAACTATAGTTCTGGAAATGCTTTCATGGATTCTCTGGCCCATTACAGAGCTGCAAAACGGCTACCTGGTTTAAGTATTAACTGGGGACCATTGTCTGTCGGGATGGCTACAGACAACTCTCTTCAAGAGGAATTGGAGAGAATTGGATACAAGTTTCTTGATGTCAGAAAGATTATTGACATACTAGAAAACAGTCTGATGTCGGATGGAAATCAAGTAGTTGCAGGAATCTTCAACTGGTCATTGATTGAAAAACAACTCGCAGATGTTTCTATGGAAAGAACGAGAAGAAGATTGAGGCGAGTGATAGGCAATGAAAACACAAGAAATATACAGGCGATAACAGAAGACATCGTTGGTAATCATGACTTGGATAGCAGTGAAGGAATCACAAGTTTCGTCATAGATGTAGCGTCACGGGTGTTTGCCGTTGATGTGGATATGATCAACAGCTCTACTTTAATGATACATCTTGGAATAGATTCGATGGTGGCAATGACATTTGTCAACACCATCAGTGATGCCACAAACTGTTCAATACCTATCGTCCTACTCTTATCCGAGGAGACTAGCATTGCAAAAATAGTTGACTACATAGAGGCTAATATAAAGAAAACAAATGATGTGAATAGTACCAGCACAGATCCCACAGTGACGGATGGCCTTACACACATGGAGAAAGAATACTTCCAAGATATCACAGACAACTCTGAAGCACTCCGTTTGTTCACCTATGTGGACTTTGAAGCATCTGGAAAGTTTGCTGACCAAGCCTTATGGAGAGCTAACCTTAAACACGTTGTGCAGAAGAATCATGCACTTAGGACTCGTTTCGTGAAGAGTACAGACAATCACGCAAACCCAATTTACACTAGAGTAGTAGCGTCTTACAATGAAATTGAACCAGATTTTAGAGTTGTTAGAACAGGAACCATAGATAAGTGCGAACGGATACCATCAGATTTAAAACCGTACAGATTCCTCCCAGAGTCTGATCTGCCGCTGCGCCTGTTCTATGAAGTCACAAATGAAACATCATTCATTCGCATGGTGTTTTCTCACCTTACATTTGATATGACCTCGATTCTTTTGGTTCTTGAAGAAATGCAGAACTTAGAGATCGATTCGCAAATACCAAAGCAAGTTCCGGAACCGCAGGATATAGCTGGCCAAGTTTATATGCGCCTGCGTGAACAAGAGGAAACCTTGGAAGCTTATTGGGAAAACAGCATTCCTGACAATTTATTTCCCTTATCTTTTGCTAACTCTGAAAGCAACACATTTGAGGAAAACCAAATAGCAATAATCACCGATCAAGTACCTCAGTCACTTGTTAACAAGATTGTAGAATTTTGTCGCAACACCGAAACTACACTATTTCAAGTTATGGTCACATCTTACCAGATGCTTCTTCATTTGATCATCGGCGTAGAAACTGTTTGTATTCTTACCCTGGCTGATATGCGCATGCATTTTCCACAGTTTCTAAAGGAAATAGGCTGTTTGGTCAACAACGTTCCATTATTTTTAACCCCATCAAAAGATACTACAATCGACAACTTACTGAGAGAAAACGGGAAAGATGTTCGTACCAGATTAAACAGCAGCTTGTATCCTTTTGAGCGGATAGTAAACGAGGTTGTTACCAGAAAAGTTGATCCTTCTTTAGTGTTTAGGCACATGATTATTTACAGAGACATCCGGACAGAGAATACAATAGAAAAAGATGGGTATGTGAAAAATGTGAGAACTGTCTCTCCAAACCACATGCATGAGACGGTTCTTATAGTGTGGAATGATCGAAACAACCATGCTATCAATTTCGAGCTTGAATACAATTCATTGGCTATCACCAAAACCCAGGCTGATAACATTTTGCAGACGATGGTAAAGATATTAGGATATCTACTCGACCATACGGATTCAACTGTGCAGGAAATGGCAAATACAATCCTGCAATCACCATTCCATGCAGCAGATTCTGCTTTGACAAATGATACAGATGCAAAGAGGTCTCCTCCCGAATTATGCAATCTGCTTCATCCTCTGGAAAAAAATTTGAGATCTGGTAAGTACAATTCTACAGCCAGAATTTCCTTCTTATGTTCCTTACTACAGACCCGTACCCGTTTGCTGTTCCATCTCAAACGCAATGTATTTTGACCTTGTAGGAAATGTCGATTCTCACGCTTCAATATACTTAAGTTATTTTGTTATTAATTTAAACCAGAACAGCATCCCAAACATACATGTATATGATGTATGAGTGAGGATTACCGTAACTTATACGTAATGTATGTCATGTTGTACATGGTACCCAGCAGTTATCACGGCATGTTATCGAGAGTCTATTTATAGATTTGATCGTTGGAGTTCACACATTACACCATTATATCTTAAGGATACGAATTTGATTGCCGGCTAAATACTTGATTGTTGGCTAAGTACTTGATTGCTGGCTAAGTGTTTAATTGCTGGCTAAGTGTTTGATTGCTGGCTAAGTACTTGATTGCTGGCTAAGTGTTTAATTGCTGGCTAAGTAATTGATTTCTGGCTAAGTACTAGATTTCTGCCTAAGTACTTGATTGTTGGTTAAGTACTTCATCGCTGACTAAGTGCTTGGTTTTTGGCTTAGTCCCTGATTGCTAGCTAAGTACTTGATTGCTGGCTAAGTGTTTAATTGCTGGCTAAGTAATTGATTTCTGGCTAAGTACTAGATTTCTGCCTAAGTACTTGATTGTTGGTTAAGTACTTCATCGCTGACTAAGTGCTTGGTTTTTGGCTTAGTCCCTGATTGCTGGCTAAGAACTTGATTGCTGGCTAAGTGTTAGATTGCTGGCTAAGTACTTGATTGCTGGCTAAGTGTTAGATTGCTGGCTAAGTGTTTGATTGCTGGCTAAGTGCTTGATTGCTGGCTAGGTGTTTGATTGCTGGCTAAGTAATCGATTGCTGGCTAAGTGTTAGATTGCTGGCTAAGTACTTGATTGGCACACTTGGACGCTAATCCAAGTTAAAAGGGAAAAAACCGTCGGTTTATGACCAACAAATACATACTTTACCATGGACTTATGAGCAATTTTTTTTAATTTTTCATTCGTGTCACATAAAAACAGCATTAATATAGGTGACACATATATAATTTAGTGGACAAAATAATGTCATTGGGTTATCATATATACTTGAAATAGACTCGGTAGATGTCAAATGTATATTATTTTATAAATTTATCTCCAATACGGAAATTCTACGCTTCAATTGGAACAGAAAATTGTGCACGGGTCTGTAATATAAGAATTTGATATTCCAATATGGTTCAATACTTAGTTTAGACCAATGGTTTTGCGTATTTGGATTTTAAACATCTTGAGAGTTTTCATGAAATCAAAAATCAGAAGTACACATCCTAATTGTGAATGATTTGTCCTTTTGAAAATAACCTTACCTGAAGACACCAGTACAGGTGACAGCTTGTAGTAAGTCGATCGTCAAACTTGACTTTTATCTGCATATACATGTTTGAGCTTCAATATATCACAACTATTTACCTATTCAAGCAATTCTAATTTTACTGATTTGAAAGGCATTCTTAACAATTGTTACTTAAGGTTTAATCACTTATACTCTTAGCTCAGAGGTCAAAGTTCATGGTTACTTTTAGTTGAATCAAACTGGAAATTTCACAAATAATCTTCATTGAATGGCAGCCTATTATTGCTTATACCGCGAAAAGCAATATTGTATTAGACCATTTATCTTTAATAATCTGAATGTTATCATATCAACCTTTCACATCATTTTCAAAATCTAATTTTCTTTTAACAACGAACACGATTATTCATTTGAAAAGCCACTTACAACATTGCAGTGAGCATTTACCGTTCTTCAAATTAGGATGTTTTTATTTCATTCTTGCTTTTTATTTACATAATTAATGACTATAAATGAAAGGCCGACAATACGTTGCATTATTTTATATAACATTCTAAAGGCGCACATCGGTTGAAAATATCACTTGTATAACAGTTATTTATCTATCTCTAACATTTTCAATTTTCATCTATGATATATAGACCTATACATGCAAAATGTATTTCATATAGAAAGAAATATATTTTTTTTATTCTGTAAGGAAACTTCCGACTTAAATTATTGAAAATAGAAATCGAATAGCATTTGATAAAGTTTTAGTTTAGTCTTTTCTAAAAAAAAAAATAGTAAAAATTTAGTTTAAAACATTTTACAAGTGTACTCAATAAAAGGCAGCTTATTTGTCGTTACTAAAGACACTTTTAATATTTTCTAATTGTGTCTATAATTGTAAATACCATTTTAATGAATTCATGTTCACAAGTACAAGTGCTGCTGTAATTTTCAATAATTTAAATATTCATCACGATTCTTTACAATTGTTATAGGCGAATTTATCAAACAGACAATGAACGGATGGTCTCATCAAGTCATGTTGTCAGTATGTCACAGAAAGGATGGTGACTCTTTCCATACATTACTCAAATGGATGAAAAAAAATGGAAAACATCCAAATCATCTGTATACAGAGGACATAGATACAGTCGACCGAGCAATCTTAAACGGTAATGCATTTTTTTCTTATCAGCCTTTTCACTACATAGGCAATGATTAGCCGAAACTCAAGTGCTATTTAATAAATGTCAAAACAATTCTTACCTTTATGAAATTTCATATTGTTTCAAATTGAACATTTTATATAAGACGAAGAAAAAGAAAGAAAATAGAATAAAAAACTAATCTAGAGAAACTGAATTAATTACATTCGGTTCTTACTTGTCCATTATCATTTCCAAGAAACGTTTGTTTTTCGATTGCTTATCTAATCAATAATTTGAGAGAGTAGATATGACCAGAACATTTAGATCAGAAAATATAAATAAAACAAAAATAAAGAAAGAAGTAATATTCTATAAAAAGACTTACTTTATATATCAATTTGGATCTCTATTGCTTTATCAGAAAATAAAACTAATTGAAAACTCTATCAAATATCCATTAATAAAATTATGGATACATTTCGAATATTTCATAATTTCTTCAAATATTCCTCAAAAAATTATGCTAGGTTATAATGGCTTAATAAAGATATGAAATGATAATATTGATACATTTCTTTACATTTCAGGCTTACAGACATTGTTGGTGAGGACAAGAAAAAGAGTGTATACCTTCATGACGGCAAACAAAAGACTGTGTGATGGTATCACAGATTGCTTACTAAGTGAATTAAGGCAGAACCGAAAAGAAGACCCAAAACCAAGATTCTGATATCCATAGGATGCAGATACTGTGACAGGACGGGTTTGCCGTATACATGTATGTAGATTCGATAAGCATGGACACAATCGTTTGAAAATCATTGCAAGTTAAGATTTGGTAGTTATATTTATACCATGATATCCCATGTTTACATGATGTAGCACAGAACATCAAGTTATAACATTTCGTCGTTTCTAGAGCAGTGTACCGACGCATATCCCCCCTCCCCCCACCCCCTATGTATTTTTCCGAATTTGTTGATTCTGTAAATGTACATATATATACATTTGGTTTTGGATAAAAAAAAATGTGCAAAGATGATTTATGTATAAATGTTTGATATATGTAATGCATAGTTTGATATAAAAAAAAACGAACAGATGAAATAATATGTTTTCTACTTCTGAATCAAAAGCTGAAAAGCTTTATCAGGTTATATTCCATTAAAAAAGATATTTGTATCTTTTAGGATTAGCAAAGTAAAAGGAGAAAGCATGTAAATAAGTAGGCATATTCTGTGAGAAATACGTATGAAGTATTTAATCATTTTGATAAGCCATGTGACCATGTTAGTATGTGACTGTTCAGTATTTATATGTCACGTAACCTTAGTTACATTTGTTAAGTTTTATCGATATATGATTGATAATGTCTTCATATTTTTGGCGCAGGTGGCCAACAGTTATAGTGTTATGTAATTTGTTACAATATAATTCATGTGTACTAATATTGGTTTTATGTATCAATATTGGTTATGTGTATAAATATTGGTTATGTGTATAAATATTGTTTTTTTGTTTAAATATTGGTTATGTGTTTAAATATTGATTATGCCTACTATTTCACCATTTCCTTTATACAAAGAATACTTTCGCTCTATTGTTCATGCTATTGGAAAGGTTAGACTTTTAATAACTTTTCATTCTGAATGAAATTACAATGTACATCGTTATTGAATTGCACAGTAACACGGGTCTTTGATAGTGTTGCGACTAGCCTCCTCAGGTTATTCAGAGAACACATGTGAATATCACCTGTCAATACGAATTCATAATAAGATGCATTAGAGCATCATACAGCTGTTTCTGGGACTCATAAGTTATCCTACAGACTTACACTTTAAAAACCTTTTGAGGAGACTTAGGGAAATCAAAATCGATCGAGCAAGATTTCGAAATCTAAATGGGAGGTGCAATAGCCCCATGATTCAACAATTCATTTGATACACATTTAAATTACAAGACACACAAACACACAAAGAAATGTTGACAACATACGTCATTGTAGGCACGTAAACTTTAATGTCTGAGTGTGTTGTCGTGATGTTTTTACTCCTAAAAGGGAACGTCGCTGAACGTTTACACGAATCCAATCACATGCGATTTAGTAGTATGGCGATCAATGCAAAACATATTCCCATGAAAACTGTTTTAAACTTGACCTTCGGTCGCGTGACGTCATGTGATGCAAATCTCAAAGTCAGCCAAAAATAAGTGTGTTAAAACCGTCTTGATATGATATGAATACGGTTGTGATCTTCAAACCCGAAATACCTCTAGGCAACTAATACTACACCATATCATAGAAATACCTTATTTACAGAACGGTTGAACTTCATTCTATCCTTAAATATAGATATATAGAGAGACCTTGACAACAAGCTATTCAGCAGAACTTTGAAATAATAACAAATCTGTCTTTGTTCTTCCAAGCATGATGATACGTATGTATGTATAAAGTTGTGGAATACCTCAAAACGATAAAATGTAATCAAGCTGAAATCCAAACAACTGAAACAATGGCTTTTATCAAACACTTTTACACTTATGTTAATGAGGTTAGATATCTGAAAACAAAAAAACAGCATCTTTAGCACAGGCGAGTAAATCATTGATTTATCACAGGAAAAATGTTGTTTTCATCAGTTGTTACTTGTATGTATGTTTTTCTTTCCTTAAACAATATTTGTGGCGTAATAGTGTAATGTTCACGTACATGTATGGCTTCCTCAAATTGTTTTTTTAATTTTGTACTTCCTTTCCTTTCATTTGTTTAATACATTGTTGTACATTTTCCATGTATGATAAACTGTTTTGTTTACAGTCGATACAAAGAAGAAGCTTGAAACACTTATCATTAATCAATGATAACAAACATGATTTTATTGCTAGTTTTCTTTTGACTGTGTGTCAATATTTTTCTTTTGACTGTGTGTCAATATATTCCTTTTGACTGTGTGTCAATATATTCCTTTTGACTGTGTGTCAATATTTTTCTTTTTTACTGTGTGTCAATATTTTTCTTTTTTACTGTGTGTCAATATTTTCCTTTTGACTGTGTGTCAATATTTTTCTTTCTTCTGTGTGTCAATATTTTTCTTTTTTACTGTGTGTCAATATTTTCCTTTTGACTGTGTGTCAATATTTTTCTTTCTTCTGTGTGTCAATATTTTTCTTTTGACAGTGTGCCAATATTTTTCTTTTGACTGTGTGTCAAATTTTTTCTTTTGACTGTGTGTCAATTTTTTTTAATTTTTTTTTCTGTGTGTCAATACCCTACAAAGTAAGCATGTTTTTTAAGTAAACGGCCCTACAATTAAAAGAAAATAAGCAGAGTCTTATCATTATTATTTTAGGGTGTTTGTTAAATAAATCATCAATTATCAGGTGATATCTACCATACAAATCAAAGTATTGATAAGTAGTATTTCATCTTATAACGCCGCTATCACATATTTCAGGATTTTTTCCAGAACAAACAGAATTATATGTTTTCGTTTGAACTTATTCATGAGTTAAATGGATGTAGAATAGAATATTCTGATGTTCATGTTCTTAACATAGCATGATAATTTTATTCGATTGTCATCAAATGTTAATGAAAAATGTTTAAAAGTGAAATTATACATTAAAAAATTAAATAAAGCTATCATCAAACTTACTTACTTCTACGCTTATATCAATGATGTATTTTATTGTGTTTTGTTTGTATACTATATCTTCTATAAACATCTTATATTACAAATAAAAATAACATGTCTACATTATATTTGTTTCTGTTATTATGTTTCCATAACCAATGTGACAGTGTTTTCTCTCATAACACCACTGCTCTTTGATAAATGACCATAACTTGATATTGGAGGTGTCATCGATGAAATAAAAGATCCCCCAACCCCCAACCCCACCTCCACCCCCACTTTTCGGAACACCCGATCTCGTCTTCTATCTAACTGGCTCTAACGTTTGATAATCGTTTTACTAGTATGGTGACATGGTTCAGAACAGAGTTTTACTATTTTGTTAGAAAATTATGGAAATCCTTTGTCTGCTAGGACTAATGCATCTCCCAATCTTCCGAGACTGATAACTTTCACTGTAATATTTTTTTTATCAATTTTGTTGTTTCGTGTAAATGCAGCAATCTACTGCGAATCCATTTGTAATCTATTAATGAAATACGCAAGAACTTGAGGGAACAGCTGTACCTCACCGAAGACCGGAAAGTGGCCGGAGCCTCCACGTTGAATGGTTGAAAGAAGCGTTGTGATTGGCTTAGAAAATAGGATGGACCGTTTCAAACAAAATAGTGAAGGTCTTTGTTTTGTTGAATTTAGTTCATATTGTGACCATTAAAATATTTTAAGACTCATAATTTTTTAGAAAAGTGAGAGTGTGTTTGTGTTCATATATATAATGGGGATTTTAAAATGATTTTTGGTTTTAGTCAAGTGTTACAACGACAAAATTCATGACTCAGTATATCCATAAAAACAACCATACTAGCCCCTAAATACATTCAGCGCTGACCAGAATAAAATGTTTAACAAGGCGTTAAGGAATCCACTTGTTTTATTTTGTCTTCTTGTCATCCGGAATTTTTTACCGACAATTTAAAGGATCCCTTTTTGACTACAACATGTTAGCTGTCACCAGATCCAAGGTAGAATACATATGGCAGTCGTTCGTCAAGATTTTACAACATACAAAACCGATTCAACCGTGCAGGAAATTTCAAGTGCAAACCAGTCACCACAATCACTACAATCCGCTTTAGATTCTAGATCCTGTTCTTATTCGAACGATCGACACCAAGATATGTAAAGTTTACTTTTGTCCAACCTTCCCGGAAATCTTACTATTTCATCTTATGTCGTTGAAATAACAATACCTGTAAATGATCCAAGTGTATCTTCTAGAATAGATGTATTGTTGTCCTGTTTATTAGAAAAAATATCTTCATTATATTTTAAGGCCATTTCTTATTTTTGTGTATTCTTCAAATTACAGACTTCAAACACTCAGTAAAAAACAAAGAGAAAACATGTGATACAACACTTTTGAGGATGTGACATTTGCGAATCATCTATGTCATCAATATGTTATTTAAGAAAAAACCCTTATTTTCATTATCGTCAGTTCTTAGTTGTCCTCACATGTGATAAAAATGACAATTCATACACATTTTTTCAGTCGACATTCCGGATCGTATTAATTTTCAAGTACACTGATAATCCGCCGTGTCTGTTCCTGTTTTTTAGTTTATTTCATGCACACACGCATGTAACTTAAATCCGGTAAAGGGCATGTATTATCTTCTCCCGTGTCTGTTTCTAGATAGACATGTCACATATATTCAGTTATTTTACACCCCGACGGTGTAGTGCCCTTACTTCCGGGTTGTATACATAATTCATTCCCCTTGACACGTTCCCTTCACGTTCTGCCCGCGGGGAACAGAAATAATTCATATCTTCCGAAAGTATGGGCAATGATTTTCTATTTGATAATATCATTTAGCCTCTGTGATAATAAGCACGGTTTTACCCTACTGATAACACGCCTCACTTTGGGTTGATGATAACCATGTATACATACCTTTGTTATTTACAAGTCTGCTATTCTAATTGAAAATGTTTCCACCCTTTATGAGATATTACAAACATTGGTATACAAACAAATGGGTACATAAGTGTGATATACAAAATTTAAACAACAACTTACCAGACT